GGGGGCGCTGCCCAGCCGCTATGGCAACCAGGCGCGCCGCGGACAAGCCAGGACCCGGTCTCCGCCAGGCCTCCGCCGGGCGAGGACCTGCTAGGGGCGGTACGGGGGGCGGGGCCTGGCTACGGATTCGTCCGCGACCTGCAGGGGGCGCCCCAGGCCCAGCGCCGACCCTTCTTCGAGGGTCTCGCAGGGTTGGGAGAGGGTCGTGGGTCAGTGCCGCTCGGCGAGGGGCGGGGACTGGGCCCCCGGGACATGAGCGCAGCGGGCCGCCGTTCTGTTGCCCTGGATTATGGTGTTTCCCCAGCAGTCCTGCCCCGTTCCCTGGTCTTCCTACCGCAGGCCCCATAGGTCCCGACTATGCGTGTGTGTGCGGGTGAGGTGGGAAGTGCTGGCTCCCCTCCCTATCACCTCCAAGTTTAGCATGGAGCAACCTCCCCAGGGACCTGAGCTGGTGGTGTCTGGTGGTGGCCGGCACCACGGGGCTGGGCCCAGCCTTGCAGGGAGGCAGCACCCCCAGGGCCCTGGAGTCAGGGACAGGAGTACTGGGACGTGCGCGGAGTAGGCCTGGCTAGCTGTCGACCTCTCCCGGTGGAGCACTCCACCGTAAACGATTTTCACCCACCACACGGATCTCTTGCAGAGGATGCACTTCGCTGCCAGAGTCAAGAGAGGAAGGAGAGTTTCGAAATCAGAGCCGGCCCCTCCACCCACACCGGAACCAGGGTGCAGGCCTCATAGGCTGAGTACTGACGCTGTTACCCTGGCCTTAGCCTGGGGTCTGGTCCTGGTCTTGTTGGGTGTTGAAGCAGCTGCCAGGCTTGACCAAGGCTGACCCTCTGGTCTCAGTCTCATTTGTAAAATCACTATAGTTTGACCTAGAAGTTTGAGCTGACTCTCTGGGCTGGGAGGCTGGTTACCATTTTCACTCTGCCCTCTCGCTGTGGCCAGATAGCACCTGTGCTAATCTGGGATCACTTTGTCACCCCACCCTGTAGTCTTATCAGGTTATTGTAATGTCCTTGGGTCTACTGGCAGCTCAAAGGCCTCTGAATATCCGGAATTCTACAGTCAGGCCCTACTGGCTGCCGCTGCTGCAGCCCTCAATAGCCTTCACCTTTCTTAGAAGGGGTACCCCTTCCCCAAGCCCTCTTCACCCCTAACAGGACTCTCAGGCCCGGCCTCTCCTGATTTCTGCAGTTGTGAACACAACTCCCCACTGGCCCTGATTTCTAATTCCATTGTCTTCTCTATGCTTTTCCAGGGACTCTCCCCTCCCTGATCTCCACGTCAAGCTTCTTCCTGGCCTAAAGCCTGTCTGTTCCCACTGTCACCCCGATGCCACCCCCACAATAGCATTTCAGCTCCCTCTGGGACATCTCTGGGCCCAGTGTCCCATGCTACCCCAAAAGCATGTCCGAAAACAGATCCGGCCACATTCACCCTCTTCCCCTCAGGCCAGCTCTGCTCCCTGGCTGTCGTGACTCAGAATGGTACTGCCGACCTCCCCGGGTGCCATCTTGGATTCCTACCTCTCTCATCCCCAAGTCCCGCCCATTTCTGGTGGGCTGTTTTTCTTATCGGGCTTCTTCGCATCTCTTCCTCTACCACCACCTTCGTTATGACATTTCTTCCCTAGACAGAAGCAGTGGCCCCTAAGCTGTCTGCCTGTCTCCTACCCTCCAGCTCCCTCCACGCATCCTGCAAACAGTAACCAGCAACTTTTTCTACAGCCAGGTCCCAGCACCCACCCCAGCCTGTGTCCAAAGCCTTCAAGGACTTCCCCAGAGCCTACTCAAGTTCAGACTCCACGTCCATTCCCGTCTCCGTCCTGAAGTTACTAAGTGTGCACTGGGCTTTGGGCCAAGTTGGGCCTGGCGTTCCGGGCCTCCCCGGCCTGCCTCCTTTCCACAGTGCTCCTGCCAACGCAAGCCACTCCTGACTGCTCGGCCCTTCCCTGCATCAGGAACATCCCCCGACTTCCCTACCCTGATGCTGGAGGCCCGGTTCAAGGCCTTTTACTCTACCTGCAGAAACCCTCTCTCTCTGCCTGCCATGCTGTGCTTTGGCCATGGGCCCCTCCGCCCTGCCCAGCAGAACCCAACATGGGGTGGGCAGCAACAGATGTCACCCTTGGGGGCCTGCAGGGCAGAGATGAGGAGAAAAGGAAGTTGACCAGAGCATGCAGGTAAATGAGAGGCCTGAAGCTGGGGGATCCCTCACGCCCCAAAGGCTCCTATGAGAGGCGCACAGCAAGGGGAGGCCAAAGCCGGAGAGGGCAGAGGTGTTGGTTTGACTGTCCACGGCAGTGTCCTCAGCACTGGCGAGCCGGGGCGCCTGGTCAGTCCAAATGTGACACTAAGTACCGAACTGCAGGCACCTCCTGCTTCCTGGGCAGTAGGCAGAAGACTCACTCTGCTCCCCCAGAGTGGGAAAAAGTGGGAGTCTTCCCCCCGCCTCCCTGGAGATGGCTTGGGCCTGGGCAGGCTGGCCCTGAACACCTGCTGTATTGATAGAGGGGACCTGGTGCCACCAAGACCCTGACCCCTCAGCACCCAGCTCAATAGTAGCTGAAAATGGTCACTGGGCACAAAAGAGTCTGACAGCCAAGGAGTCAGGCACCATTTTTTTATAAAAACGCATAGTCTCATTTTTCACTCTTTAAAATCACATTCAAAAATCGGCAAAGAAACGCCCAGGGGAGCGAGTAGATGGGAGGGGGGCCACGCCAACCCAGCCCCGGGGGGAGAGGGCGCGATACCACACACGGCAGCGCGACTGGCACGAGGGGACATGCGGTGGGCGAGGTGGCACCCTGTGGGTGGTGGCACTGACGAAATGTGAGGCTGGGGCTGGTCAGCCCAGGGGGCGCAGCAACTGGCCTGGGGCGGTGAGGACTAGCCCCGCCGGCCCCTCTCACTGCGCTGTGGTCCTGGGCAGATGAGGCCTCACCCAGTCCGGGGGCAGGGGGACCTCAGGGCAGGCTGGCCAGTGTGGAACAAGGCGCAGTTGCCTTTCTGTGGTCCCTGAGCCCGGCGCTTGGGGTGGGAGGAAGAGGGGGTGCTGCAGTGACGGCCAATGCCACCCTCCTGGCCCAGCCCCAGTGTCCAAGGAAGGTGGGAATGGAGGCAGCCAGTGACACAGGGACTCTCCGAGTGAGGGAGCAGGAGGCCAAGTCACTGGGGTCAGGGAGACAACGGGGTCCTCCTCCACCAACCGATGGAGGCAGGACAGTGCAGGGCTAGGGCCCTGTCGCAGGAGGGGCCGCGATGGGGAAATTCAGGCAGTTTTCCTGTGCTGCGGGCCCCCCCGGGTGTGGGGTGTGAAGCCACCCAGCTGTGCTGTGGGCCCAGAGCATGGCCCACAGAGCCTGAGGTGGCACCATCACCAGGAAGGGACGGGGTGGGGGGCTGCAGCTCTTCCCCCACGGGAAGACACTGGGAGTGGGTGACCCCTGGGGGAGGTCAGGGCTGAGGGTAGTTGGGCAGTGGCTGGGTTGGTGGCAGCAGGAGCCAAGGCAAGCGGGCCCCTCCCTGGGGGCTGGGGCCACAGAAAATCACAATAATTACAAAATAAAACCTTTTCCGCTTTGCGGGAAAACAAATAATAAAAATTCGACAAAATAAATTAGAGGTTTATAAAAGGCGGGCGGGCGGGGGAGGGGCGTCAGAGGCCGTTGGCGCTGCCGCGCTGGACCAGCGGCACCTTGCTCAGCTCCACCACGGGCGAGCGCGCCTTGTTCTTCATCTTGGGCACCCGCTGCACCAGCTGCTGGGCCTCGCGGTAGGCGTCGCGCAGCTCCTTCTTCCACTGCACCAGCTCCGGGTCGCTCTGCACACGCCCCGGGCTCTGTCAGGCGCGGTCTGGGCGCCCTGGAGGCCACTGTCCCCATGCCACCACTGCCCACCGGTCCCCCCCACCCCGTCCCCACTCACGTCGCACTGAAGGACGAACTGTTTACCACCACGGATCTTGAGAAGGAGGCACTTTCGCTCCTTGATCTGTGTCTCCTCCACCGACTGGATCTCCTCCATGGTCAGCAGGCTCTGCTGCAGGCGGGGAGGGCGGGCGGGGCCGTGAGGAGGGCGGGGCAGGC